GATATATCCGGGGAGCTCATTGCAGCTATATTGCCAGACATGGCACTGAACCCAATAAATGTCAAGCGACCCGTAGAGCGAAGATTCGTACGTATATGAATATTTAATGGCAGCACCATCTGTTGGGTCCTAATCCACGTGATCTCCTAAATTAGAACTATAAATTAACAATAGGGTACAAATTTGTATGAGGTCTCCCAGACCTGAAATTGTCTCTGGAAGTCTTTTTTAATGTTTATTTTTGAGAGAGGTGGGGGGGAGGGGGAGGGAGAGACACAGAATCTGAAGCAGACTCCAGTCTCTGAGCTGTCAGCACAGAGCCTGACGCGGGGCTCGAGCTCACAAGCCGTGAGATCATGACCCGAGCCGAAGTCAGATGCTTAACCGACTCAGCCACCCAGGTGCCTGGTCCCTGGAAATCTCAGCACAGAGTTGTACATAATCTTCTCTACCTTAGTGCATCTGAGCATATGTTCAAACATACTACCTTCTTCCATCTTTTAAGTCTCTCCTACCCAAAATCAATTTTCTCTTTTACTTTTATTCCGTCTTCAGTATTATGGAACCTAATGTCAGGGTCTCCTTTCTAGCCTATATATAAAGCAGATCTGATGCCATATCAGGACAGCCCTGAAGGTCGAGACCGTTCTGCTTCATCGGAGGCCCCCAACCCTCCCAAGGCTCGAACTTATGCTGAAACTGTCAGCCATCACTACTTGCTCTTTCAAGACACAGATTTGGTAAATTGAGGCCAAGAGAATGGGTGTGGCATTTGAAAAAGTAGAAAATGTTAGTCCTGGTATAGTAGGGCTTTCTAAGGAGTTGTAGCCCAAAGATGCAAGACTAAGAAGCCCCTGGCTTTCTCTCTCTTGTTGTACTCCCCTCCCCAGGGTTCCTTCCATGATCTGCTCCACAGAGAGCCAATGCTGCGCATGCAGGAAGGAGAGGGGCATTCGCAGCTCTGCCTGGACAGGCTGCAGCTGGAGGCTATCCACAAGGTAAAAGCCTGGTCTCCTCTTCTCCACCTTTCTTCACTCTCGTTTCGTCCCAACTCTGGACATAGGATCAATGAAATGGGCAATGAACACATAACAGAGACAGCTGAGAAGGGAAAACAGCTCTGGCGACCTCATTCTGCAAAGCATGATAGACATTCCTCATTTCTACCTCTCTTACCCCATCGTGGTCTTATCCTTTCAGATTGTGGCCCTTTTTTTTTCCTCCTGTTACAGCTACAACTCACCCTAAAGCACCAACTGTGAGCATCTCTCTTTTGTTTTCTGTTCTCTGCACAGGTCCGCTTCAGCCCAAACCTGGATTCCTATGGATGGCTGGTATCTGGGGGACAGTCAGGGCTGGTTCGGATCCATTTTGTCCGTGGACTCACCTCACCACTGGGCCACCGTATGCAGCTTGAAAGCCGAGCCCACTTCACTGCTATGTTCCAGCCGTCCTCCCCTATTAAAGGGCCTGGCTTCCCTCCAACTAGCCATCGCCTTCTGCCCAGTCCCTAGTTGTGGTCCACACAGGACCTTTGGAATGAAATCTGCCAGGAACAAATGGCCCCCAACCACAGGGCCATAGGAACTGGGGTCTTCCTGGATAGTGACGCTGCCAGACCTGGACCTTTAGACCTGCCTTGCCAGGACTCCTTAGATACCTCTCCTTCCACAGACTCTGTCATCACAGGCCCCTGCGGGCAGGGGGGCTCTCCCTCCACAAACTCTCAAGGCTCCTCCACCTAAAACTATGGCTCATGAGAAACACTCAGGCCTGACCTAGGCTTGGGAGTCAAATTGCTCATATTGAGCATATTGTGAAGTGGGTAAAGCTGAGTAAAGGTACTGGGTGTTTTTGAGACCACACGTGAGTGGGTGTTTGGAGAACTGGAAAGGGTATCTGTATGAAGGCTCCTGTCTGACTATATTCCAGGATCCAGTATTACTGCCTTCTCAACTTCCTCTTCAAAGTAACCAACACACAGGCCCATGAGGGGTGACAGTAATTTATTGGATTGAAGCGGCTTATAGTACTTCTTTAACTGAGGAACACCACAAACGCCCTACCAGTAGAACAGTGGCTCAGATCTTACTTGCTCCTGCTTATGAAATATTCCCAATCACTGGTCATCTGACCTTACTCGAACACTCCTAGGCAGTCCTGTTTTAAAAAAAATCTTCCTTTATATCAAGTCAAAGAGTATACTTCTATACATTTCACCATGATTATTAGGAAATCTAGTCATTCTTCCCTGTGATTGCCCTTTTAAATATTTAAAAATAGCTATCATGTGTTTCCCAAGTCTTTTCTTCTTTAGATTAAATATCTTCAGTTACTTTAACCATTCTTTACACGTCATCATTTTTGGTCCTTCATGATCCTGGCACATCGTTGAGTTATTAAACATGTCTAGCTGCTTTTATTTCAACTCTCCAGATAGGAGGTGTTTAGAACCCAAATACAGTAATGTGTTGTTGTATCTCCTCTTGTTAGAATCCTCTTGTGGGATGCTGCAGACTCCTAGGGACTGCAGTACCGCCTCCTAAGCAGAGACAGACCCCAGCAATGAGAAATAGGCAAACCACAGTCTTGGAATGTATAGGAGTACAATCAAGTTTGGGGTGGAGGGGAGGGAGGAGTCAGATGACCTCGGAAGACAGAAAGAAGTACACAGCCAGCTCCAACTGAAGGGAGTGGAGATTAGTTTACCACCTACCTGGAACAAAACCCTCTGGCACTGTAGACTGGTTGGCCAAATATCTGTGAATAGCTTTCTGCTTCTTGGATTTGGGAATTTATTGTATGTCAAGAAGAAGAAAGGAATCAAGCAGTTCCAATTTCCTTCCTGTACAGAAGAGGAAACAAACTGGAGGCAACCAGACTATTAGCAGCAGAGGGACCACAACCCATGTTGGTGCAAAGGAGTCCTTCTACCGTCCCATTGTGATCGGGCTCTGGTTGTGCCACTTTTGTTTTTGAGCTGACAGGGAAATGCCTTCCATTGCAGAGAAGCTTTGTTCATTCTACACAGCAGCCCCTTAACACTGCCTCATGGGATTCCACTTTCAGTGACAGAAAAGATGGGACCTGGGGCCCCTTGCTGTTGAGGCTAGAGGTCGGTGCTGGCAGCCTTGCTCCTCCTGTGGACTCTAGCCTTGGTCTCCACCTCCAAAAGAAAATCAGGAGGTTGCTTTCAGCCCTTGCTGTCTTTCTTCACCATAAACCCTCTTCTCCCCAGGCTGTTCCACTTCAACCTTCCCTCCCAATGTGTACACTTTATACTATCCATGGATGCCTGTGCTTTTCTTTCTTTGTGCGTTTGCTCACACTTCCCTGCTCCAGGAGCATCCTTTTTCATCATCTCCACAAAAACCCTATTCATCCTTCAAGGTCCCAATGCAAATCTCACCTTTCATCAAGGAGTTTCATAGATTTCTCTAGTAAATATTCTCCCTCCCATGTGTTCTCAAGAGGAAAGGAAGAAAAAAGGATAAACAAGTGTTTATTAAGCACTTGGTCTATTTCAGGTATTTTGCATGTTACCTAATCATATGAGGTAGGCACTGCCCCATTTTACTTGCTATTATTGAGAGTTTAAGCAGTCTGAATAAGGTCAGTTTACTAAGTAGTGATGCTGGGATTTGAATGTAGACAGCCTGACTTCAGAGGACAATTGTTTCCAACCTAACCTCATTTGGTCTATTATATTTACCAGTGTAAATGCACTCTAGCACAGTGTTTTGTATATAGGAGCCTTTAGTTAAATATTTGTGACACCCAATTATCTTGCTTCCTCATTGTGTTTCTCCAGTAGCTGTGACAGGATTCTCCCTGCCTTAATCATATAGGAATTGAGTAAACTGGGGCTAGAGCTAGCCAGATAGCCTGAAAGAGTCCCGTATGGCTGCTCCCTGAAGTGTGGGCTCCCTGGATATAGTTAAAGGCTGCCAGCCTGACAAATGTACTGCCAGGGACCTGGTCATAGTTTCCACCACCCTAGAAAGGATGTTTCACTACATTCACAAAATTTTAGAATGTTAGAGCTGGAAAGGGATTAAGAAATCACCGAATCTATTGATTTCCAAACACTTTTAGTTGTGGGCCCCTTTGTTTAAAAATGGCTTTTCCTAGAAATACATTTTAAAAGCTGAGGTAAAGAAGAACCTGTGGTGATATCCCCCAAAACGTCTCCTTATAAACCCCTAAAACTGAGGGGTTTGAAAAACAGTTAAACAGATGAGGAATCTTAAATTCTAATACTGACCAAGGCTGCAGAGACCACTAGTTATGGAACCAGTAAGGACCTTCTGAGGTTCTGGAATCCTGTGCTTTCCAGGGAGGAGTCCTCTTTGCGCAGCTTTTCTTTTTCTTTTTCTTTTTTTTTTTTTAATGTTTATTTTTTATTTTTGAGAGAGAGTGTAGGTGGGGGAGGGGCAGAGAGAAAGGGGACAGATGATCCGCAGAGAGCTTCGCGCTGACAGCAGAGATCCCCATGCAGGGCTGGAACTCACCAACCACTCACCAACCGTGAGATCACAACCTGACCAGAATGACTGAGCCACCCAGGTGCCCCTGCGCGGCATTTCTAAAGGCCCGTCGTGGACAAAGACTGAACTAGGTGCTAAGAGGATGGCAAATACAAACGACGCAGTTTCACCTATTCAGGAGCTCACAATCAAGGCTAGTGAAGAACCCAAGGACACTGAAAAAATAACACACGCACTTAACTATGTTTCCAAACTGATGCCCGAGATTGAGCAAGGCGTCAGCACCTTGGCCAGTTCCGGGGCGCGGGAGCAGTGAGGGTCTACCCAGGTTGAGAAGCCCGGGCCACGGGGAGAGGGGTCAGGAGGAGGCAGAGGTCAGGTGGGAAGCATGGCAGGAGGGGCCCTCACCGAGACCGGGCGCACACTTGGAAAAGGGTTTGCTCACAGACTGAGAGCTGAGCCGTTCTCCACGGGTATTTGTGGCTCAGTCCACTCCCACTCCAGCCCCGGGAGCCGGGTTAAGCTTGGAGGCCAGCCGGGCGGAAGGGCGTGGCTTGAGGCGGAAGTCCCGCCTCCTGTCGGGTCACGTGAGGGGCTGGACGCGAGAGCAGGTGAGTGGCTGGTGAGCCGTCCCGGGCTCAAAGCATCGCGTGCTGAGAGCGCCTAAAGCGCCTGTGACCTCTTCCAGGCCAGGGAATGATAGGCCCTATTTCCGGTTGGACTCAGGAAGGATGCGGGCTGGTTCCAACCGAGAGTGACTCAGGGGACCAACCAAGCTCTGGGTAAAAGCCTGAGCAAACTGTCCTTACGTGTCTCGGTACGGAAGGAGGTCCCCAGGTGGCCTTGCTTCAGGGCGGGGGATGGGGTGGCTGGTAGCTGCCACTGACATTCAGTAGCCGCTTACAGCCCTCCTCTATTACCTGATTGCCTAAGACGATCCCTATAACAGGAAGTTGTCCAGGAAGCATCTCTCCTGAGGCCTCTGCCCCTCTAGGACATATTGGAAGCGGGAGGGGGAGAGGGAGTGGGCACAACGGAAAGTCAAGCGTCTCTTTAATTGTGGGGAGAGGCCATGAGGGTAACCCCCCTCTCCTCTTGGCTTGACAGGAATCATGGCACTCTGGCGGGCATACCAGCGAGCCCTGACTGTTCACCCGTGGAAAGTACAGGTCCTGACAGCTGGTGAGTGAATAGACAGCTGGTGAGTGGAGCCAGAGCAGGCTGATTTGGGAGGCAAAAGCTCGCCCCACCACACCTCCCTCAGTTGCTTCTATTCAGCCCCCTTGAAGAGTTAGCTGTCTGTCATCCCAAGTTGTCCCCAGGCTTTGGGAAGGTGGGTCCCCAAGGCTGTTCTTAAGGAAAGGGTATGCCTGGTTGTAAAGTAGGATCTGAAAGTCCTCAGAAAGCTGAGGAGTCATCCCTTTGGGATAAAGGCTCCTCTAACATCTTACAGTGTGCAAAACACTTTCAAGACACATTTATCTCATAGGGTTGTCACAAAGATCTGAGAGTCTGCATTAAGTCACCTAATAAGTGCTGGGATCAGGACTTTTACCCCAGTTTATTTTCTTTGTGGTATTTTTTTTTTTTTTTTGGTAAAATGTATCTTAGCATACAAAAGAATAGTTAAGACGTGTGTACAGTTTAAATAGTATTAAAATTGATTACTTTTGTGTCAGTACCCAGCTCGAGACCCCTTGAGCACCTATCCCTAACTTGACTTGTATAGCCGAGAGGACCATTTTCATGAGTTTTGTTTATACAACTCTTTTGCTTTTCTTATAGTTTTACTACCTATTTATATATCCCCAAACCATATACTAATCAAGGATTTATGTTTACTCCAAATCCAGTGACTGGATAACAACCTCACAAAGGCAACCCAGTGACTTAACCTGCATTTGTTACCATCTTTATTTTGCACATTAGCTAAGAAATCCAGAGATGGCACAGAGATAAGTAAGTTTTATAGTGGCGGGGGGGGGGGGACTAGAAGGTCTATGACTCTTGGAGCAGTGCAAGAGTGAGCAGGTTAAGATGGGGTCTTGCCTATGTTTAGAGGAAGGGAACAGGATTCTAGTGAGGACCATGGGCTTCTGGAACGAAGACTGTCAGGAGGAATGGCAAGCTATGAAAGCCAGGGAGGAACAGCAGTCTTGTTACTGGAATAGCCCCACATCAGCACTAGAAAGTTCACCGGGTGACTGGCCAAGGGTTGGACGCTTTTGCCCCTCCCCGGGCCCTTCTCCAACCTCTTTGCCCAACCACCCCATGTCCTGTCCTCAGAGTGTCCGTCAGCCTGCATGACTCACCTGGTTGCGCGCGTGGTGACTCATGCTGGACTGTGTGGCTGTGATGGGGACTGACACGCTGGGCCCTTTGCCAGCCTCAGACTCCCTCAGGGCCCTTAACGGCCGGAAGGAAGGTTCCCCCTCCTGGCCATCAAGAATAGAGAGGGAGGGATAGTCCCTGTGTTTCCCTTCCCAAGGGATGTGCAATTGACAAGGGGAGGAGCTAGAGTTCAGAGGGGCCCAAGTGCATATGTGTGACTGGACTGGGGTGCTGGAGCCCTGTATCTCCGTCTGGGTGTGTGGCTCTATACCTGCATCGTCTCCGCACAGCCCTGATGCACCTTGTAGGTAGCACTTTTCTCAGACATCTCCTTCCCTACTGCTAATGTGTTTGGATCAAACTACAAATGAAGGGAAGAGGTGGGTTTAGCTCATCGAGCTGTTTTTAGATCCTTGCACAGTGCTTCCTAAGGTCCCATGGGGTAGCTCATCACACTGGAAGACAGAAGAGAGATTTCAGACTTGGACTTAGAAGACCAGGTTTTGTTTTTGTTTAAAAAAAATTTTTTTTTTTGGTAATGTTTATTTTTGAGAAAGAAAGCGTGAGCAAGGGAGGGGCAGAGAGAGAGAGACACAGAGTCGGAAGCAGGCTCCAGGCTCTGAGCTGTCAGCACAGAGCCCTATGTGGGGCTAGAACCCACAAACTGTGAGATCATGACCTGAGCCAAAGCCAGATGCTTAACCGACTGAGCCACCCAGGCGCCCCAAGACCAGGTTTTGAATCTCAGCCATAGCACTCAGTAACTGCGTGAACCAGGCAAGTAAATCAGTAAACCTCTTGGAGCCTCGGTTTCCTTATTTAGGAATTGAGTTTCGTTATATGACCTCACAGAGTCAGTGTAGGAGTTATCTCTGTGAAAAGGCTTTAGAAATTTGAAGAAAAAAAAAAAAGTTCAATAGACATAAAGCCTCCTGGACTTGGCCCTTTCCATGAGTGTTGTCAACCCTAAATGACAAGCTATTCTTTTTAGAGTGGTTTTTCAGCTGAGTTTGTTCCATTTGCCTTAAATTTGATCATGGGTGACTATCTTACCCTTGGCTCTCCAAATAGCAGAGCCTGGGGTTTTGATGCAGGTACTTCGTAAGGGAGTAGCAATTAATCCTGCAGGGGAAGAGGGAGAGCCAGTACAAAGATCATATTGCATACTGCTTAGGACGTGTGTCTCCTCATCCCTTAAAACGGACCGAGAAGCTCTTTGAAATGCCTCTTAAAACTATATGGGAGAATAGTCTTTTCTGGAGACAAGAAGAATCCTTTACCCACCAGCTCTCACCCCACATTGGTCAAATGTTTGCCACACGGGATGTCAATGCCTGTGTGCCCCCGGATCACATGTGCGTGGTCCCAGGTAAAGCATCAACAGCACAGCCCCAGATATGACTTAGGCCTGAGGCAGGATCGATCAGGTTGAGCCACAGTAGTGGCCGGAGTAAGAGATAAGTGAATCAAGATCTGAAATGGTTCAAAAGAAGTGTCTGATACCCCCCAGCGTTGGCCAAGCCAGAGTCATGAACAGAGCAGCCTGGGAAGCGTGTTGTGCAGAGTCTGAGTCAGCCTTTTCCCGTCCTTTCTGGAGGGCCCTTCCAGTCTCCAGTGGGCCCGGGGCCCAGCTCCATCCAATCTCCGGCCACTCTAGTCCTGCTATGGAGACAGCCAAGCTTCTACAGACCCTGGTTTCCCTAGAATCTGAATTCCACCAGGATGTGAGGGCTCAAAAGGCATTGGAGCATCCAGTCCAGCCCCTGATACCACAGAGCAGGCAGGGGGCAAGGGTGATGTGCACCGAGGTCCCCATGGCCGGTGGTAGAGCTGGCATTGGAACGTAAGGTGCTTCCCAATGCAGTGCTCTGCACTCAAGACCGCTGGGGCCTTAGACTGCGGAGCATAGCCCCAGCTGGTCTGGGCTTCCATACCTGACAAAGCTGCAGAACCCTCCATTTTGTCTCGTTTTCTAGCAGTAGGATGGCTTCGGGCCAGGCGTGGGGAGAGCATTCAGCCCAGTCCCAGAGGACACACTCTCCCCTCTCTCTGCCCAGCTTCAGTTGCCTCTGGGCTCTATCAGACCAAGCCCCTGGCCCAGGCAGCTATTTAATTGTGGAAGATTCTGGGGAGGAGTGAATCTACAGCACCTCGGGCCCCATGCCGGGAGCCCTACCTGCTGCCCCAGGCCTTCTGCACTCAAGGACACGTTTCCTGCTCCTCACTCCAGCTTCCTGCCCCTCACTTAGCCTTCTCATCTTCCATTAGTGCTTTATTTTCTTGCCTCTAAGACCCCATACACAAAGTCAGGAGGGGTACAAAGTGGGGCAAGTGGGGAATTAAGACGAGGGTGTAGAAGTTGGGGCTTTTCCACTAGTGGGCAGGGGGTGGTCCCAAACAGATCTCTGCTCAGAGGCAGCCTCTCCCCAACCCCCTCAGTCCGCTGAATCCGGTGGTGAGTGACGGCATGAGAACTGGCACCTACCCAGGGGCATGATGTCACACCTGCGCCAGCGTCTGCCTGCTGGGCTCAGCGCCCAGCCTGGCATTGGGGCATCACTGCCCAGCAGCCCCTCACCCTGCCCCATCAGGGCTCGGGCTTCACATCTCTGCCCTGACCCTCTGGAAACAAATCCAAGGAAAGGGGAGCCAGAGCACAGAAAGATCTAGATCAACCAAGTATGTCCAGGAGGCCTCCCAGAACCTGGTGGGGGCCTGCTTGGGCTCTGCACTGGGGAAGGTGGAATGAGGAACCTGAATGTCAGCTCTTCTTGCTCAAATTCCCTCGGCCCAGAGACCAGGCCTTGTTCTGTGCTCAGACCAAAGCCTTGCACCTCCCTGGAGTTGCTGCAGGCCCAGAGTCCTTCTGATGTGTGGGCAGAGGAGGAACTGCCGGGCACGGTTTTTTGTCTGAAATGGACAAAGCTGGCACGGGCTACAGAGCTACGTGCCCACTGCCTCTCGCCGCTGCCCTTTGCTCAGGAGTCCCTCGGGTTCCATGAGCGTGGTCTGGGGGCCTGGAAGCCATCTTTCTCAAAGTCCTGCTGGCTCCCAGGACTGTGGTTTTCATTCCTGCTCTGCCGTTAGCTTGTTGGGTGACTGTTGGCAAGCCACGAAGAGTGAAACACACACCTTCATCTCTTTGTGGCTCTTGTGACCCAGGAAGATTGCTGCTTGCCCTCCCCACAAGGGGACAAGGAACAGAGAGGGTCAGCTCCTGGGGAGTAGAAGACAGAAAGGAAGTGCATTAGTCTAGGAAGTCTCTTTGATGTGCAGCCTTTGGGGCCTTGTTTGGGCAGGAACCCCCTGCGAGTAGCAGAGCAGCCGAAGGGGCCTCTTGGCACCCGCTGACCCCTGAGCCCAAGTCTCAGCCCCTGCCGTGATTCCCTGGCTTCCTGCTCCTTCTTGAGAGAAGGCCTGGGTTCAGCCCAACTCCGCTCCTTACCAAATCACCTCAGCTCTCAAAGATGGTAAATGGAGGTGTGAGTCTACATCCCAGACCTTTCGTGAGGATCGAATATGCGAGAGCCGTTTGTAAGTTAAACAGCTTGCCCAAGTAGAAGGTCAGACTGTTACTCTCTTCGTTTAAGAAGTGACTGCCTTCTGTTCCACCCTGTCCGGGGCTTCTCAGGGTCCCCTTCCCTTTCTGCATGGCCACAGCAGCAACCCCTCCCTGGGGGGGTGTGAGCGAGGGCGTAGGGAGATAAGTGCTAACTGCGTGGAGCAGGGAGGGGGGAGCAAGCCTTCAGTTCCACCTGTCTGCACACCTTGAGCCTGACACGTGGTCCTGCCGGCTGGGCTACTCTGGGGAGCACTCACACTTGGAGTTCTTCATGCCTTTCCCAGAGCGGACCTGTTGGTTAGGTGTGGCAGGGGATAAGAGAACAGAGATGTCTAGGATTCTGTCCTTGGCCTCTGGGAGGTTGTGGCTAGCCATGTTCTGGGAAGAGCCTCCACCACTTTGAGAGTTTCTGGGAGAGGTTGCCTTGATGGTTTTGTCAGGGGTCCCAGAGCTGCTCCACGGGCCTGGGAGTGCCGTCACCCGTGGGATGGGGGGGGGGGGGGGGGGGGGGCGGATCACAGCCCCGGCCCTCCGCCTTCTTCAGCTGCCTCTGACGACACTGCTCAGGGGCAGGGCTTTGCAGAGGGTGCAGAGGAAGAGTAGTGAGGGTGCAGCCGGTGTGGACGTCAGAGCCAGCTCTGGACCAAGGAATAGGGTTAAAGGATGTGTTTGCCCAGTGCTGATTGAGGGCACAGAGACAGTGGTAGCCATGGGACTGGAGGGGGGGCCCTCATTACTCAGTGAGATGGACGGGCAAGCTGGAGGTCATACGGTCACTCCCGAGTGACCCTATGTGTGTGTGTTCGCTAGGAACCATCACGCCACCATAACTGACGGGGGCTCTGTAAACAGTGATGATTTCTGTCTCAGTTTCTGGGTGTGGGTGTCTGACTAAGGCTGCTTGGAGCGGGGTGTCTGTGTGAGTGCCGGAAGGGGAAGCAGGTACAAAGGCCTGGGAGAGAAATGGCTATAATATCTATTGTCAGCTCAGTCTGAGGTTGTGAATGCGGGTGCCTGGGTTTACCTGATTGTGCCAGGAGGTAGCCAGGACTCCTCCTTGTGGGCACTCTTACCAGCTCAGCCACTCATCTTCCCGCATGGGACCATTTAAACACTCATGTTTTAGAAAAAGAATTATTTTTGCTGTTATCCATAAGTAGAGACCTCAAGACCCAGGGGACGGACATTGTCCAGGGTCTTGCCTTGGACTGGGGGGAAGAAACCAGGGTTCCTTACCATTCTACACATGATCTCTTCGTATTGTGGAGTCCTGGAAAAATCACTGTCTAGGGCATCAGGCCACCTGGTTCTTGCCTTGGTTCTGCCCCTTACTGGTTATAGGAGGTCCCAGGCCTTCATTTCCATACCTCGTAAAGCAGGAGTTTGGATGGGATTATCTGGAAGGCCTTTCCAATTCTGATCGTCCTTGGTTCTCAGCCCCAAGCACCTTAAATTCTCCTTCCTCTAGCTGCAGTCTCTGACTGGGACTTCCCTTTATTACTCTGTGCAGAGTCCATGGGCCCTGGCCTGATCAAGGCTGCTCGTCCCAGTTTCTAACAGGACACAGGGGAGATGTCACCATCTTTGGGAGAGGAGAGTTTCGAAGCAGCAGTGAAGGACTGGCTCTTTGCCCCAGAATTAGTCTCTTGGGCTCAGAGTGTCAGAGCCTCATTCAGGGACTCACTTCCCTACCTGGAATGGCAGCCCATGTCCAGGAGTGTCCTGACAATACCCGTGTACCCTGCACAGGGTCCCTGATGGGCCTGGGTGACATTATCTCACAGCAGCTGGTGGAGAGGCGAGGTCTGCGGGAACACCAGACTGGCCGGACCCTGACCATGGTCTCTGTGGGCTGTGGCTTTGTGGTAAGTTCTGCCCACAGCCGGGCTGCTGGAGGATCGGACGGTGGCCTTAGTTCCATGTCATTCTTTAGTTTCCCTTGGCCTCTCTCCATCTAAGCCAACCTTGAGTGTGTGCTTCCACTGGAATTTGGTTTCTAATCCTTGAAGAGAGGAGCTTTGTGATGCAAAAGCCAAGTGCTTCCCTCACTGCACACCCTCTCTTCTCCCCGGGGTTCACTTTCAGGGCCCCGTAGTGGGAGGCTGGTACAGGGTTTTGGACCGGCTCGTCCCTGGCACCACCAAGGTAGATGCGCTGAAGAAGATGCTGTTGGATCAGGTGAGCCGAAGGAGAAGGGGCTCAGGAGGGGTGAGCGGTGCTGGGGGAGGGCGGGGGTTGAGGTGCTCACAGACCTTTAATTCTTCTCCCCTAGGGGGGCTTTGCCCCTTGTTTTCTAGGCTGTTTCCTCCCACTGGTAGGAGCACTCAACGGACTGTCAGCCCAGGACAACTGGGCCAAGCTACGGCGGGTGAGCTGGGCAGGTGTGGGGCGGCCTCTGGTCTCTGGCCGGCAGCCCGCCAGTCCCAGGGGAACGAGGCAGGTTTCATGGGGACGAGCCAGGTGCGAGTCCGGGCCGAGTCCCAGGCTCTGGAGAAGAGGAGCTGAGGGGTGTGGCACAGACTTCCTTGAACAGAAGTCAGTGTGGGGTGTGACACGCAGACCAGGAGGCGGGGGCGGCTTGGAAGTAAGTGCCAGGGTCAGTTTGTTCCTTCTTTGTCTCCTCAGGACTATCCTGATGCCCTCATCACCAACTACTATGTAAGCGATGACACCGCCCCTGCCCGTCCTGCTTTCTTGAGTCCAGACGTGCCCGGGATGGGGGTCCTCCTGACATAGAAGCCCCTCCGTTGGGATGAGTGGGCACCACACTCAGGGAAGCACTCACTCAGCTGCTCACCTTGTTCTTGTCTGCAGAAGTCGGAGTGAGACCAGGCAGTGAGTCCGGGGGTCGGGTGATGGAGGCAGCCCCCCAACCTTTACCTTCGTTCTCTTCTAGCTCTGGCCTGCTGTGCAGTTAGCCAACTTCTACCTGGTCCCCCTTCATTACAGGTAAGACAGGTTCTACCCCCACCCATCAAAGAAGATGCATAAGGCGATTCTCCTTTCAACCTCGAATCACGTTAGAGCCTCCCAGAACACTGCCCCAGCCGCAGCGCCTCACACTCTCAAGCATTTTATTCAGAACCTCTTATCCATTCAGAGCCTGTCCCAGCACCTGCCCACTGACCTTCTTTCATCTTCCTGGAGAGGCTCTTGCTCCACAGCCCTGTCTCCGTCCCACCTGAGCTCCCACCTTTGATGGCATATCTGCAGGGACAGTGCCTGGGGTGGGGGTGGGAGGCAACAACCTAGGTTAGACAGAAGGGTAGACGGAAGAGCCAAGTGGGAACCTGGCCAGGTTAGTCCACTGCAGAGTATTACTTTACCCTAGTAATAAAGGTAGTTGCTGAAACCACAGTAAAAATATAGTGGAACTCAAGGTGAGTAGTTGAAACTATTGGGGATGAAGGGATTTGGGGAACAGGGAAAAATATGAACTCTTCAGAGGGGACAGAGTCGACATTGACATGAATAGCATAGCTTAAAGGAAGAATTGGGGAGCAGATTCTCAACATTAGAGTCTTTGCAACACTCTTTGAAACTAGAGGAAGGTAAATTTACAATAAGGAGAAGGAGGTGCCACTTTACATGGCAGGCAGCGCAGTTTTGGAAGATAAAATCGCAGCTGGTGTAAGACAGACAGACACGTGTAGTCAGAAGGAGCCTGGACAGGAGTGAATCAGAGCCACACTTGGCAAGATGAGGGTGTTCAACTTTGAGGCTCTTGTCCAGCAGACAGAGCTCTGGGGCAGTGCCAGACCCCAACCTGCTTGTCCTCCGGTCTGAGCCACACGTCCCTCCAGGGCTGAAGGAAGACCTGAATGTGGACGTTCTCAGAGACAAGCCCTCCTTTTCTGTTGCACTTTCCTAGCTCTCCCCACCCCCTTCCTTGCTCCCCATTCTTCACCATCCTCACGCCGCCCCTCCTGTCCCGTAGACTGGCCGTTGTCCAGTGTGTGGCTGTTCTCTGGAATTCCTACCTGTCCTGGAAGGCTCACCGGCTCTAGGCCCGCCTCACTCCATTGCCTGCACTTGTGGGGATGCCGCTTGACCCTGGAGCCACCAGACAGCCTCCTCAGAGTGGGCACATCAGCTTTCCTGGGGTTCCGTGCCACTCAGAACTTAATGGGCTTTGCTCCTGTCTCCTCTTGAAACCATTAAAACCCTTCTAATGGTTTTGTACAACCACCACCATAAACGTTCGTTGTACTGTATGGTCTTGTCAACCTTCGTTTATACTCATATCCCAGCAGTGCCACTCACCCCCCACTCTTCAGAGACACGTCTGTTCTCTAACCTTCCCAGCCCTACAGTAACTCCAGCTCTTTGGGGGCCACAGACCCTTTATGTGGTGCCTCCAGAAGTATGCTATTAAATATGTAGTCTGAAACCTGCAAAAGCGGTGAGTAGGACGCAGCAGAAACCTATGGGGCAGTGAGAATTTCTAGAGCCGGAAAGAAGTCTAGAGACACCAACCCTGATCTTCTTTTACAGATGAGCACACCAAGGTCCATATAAGTGAGGTGACCTGTCCGTACCAACAACCAGTGGCAGAGTGGAAACTTGAACCCACATGCTATAGGTGAATGTTTGTATCCCCTCCAAAATTCATGTTAAAGACCTAATGCCCAAAGTGATAGCATTAGGTGGTAGGGCCTTTGGGAGGTGATAAGGACATGAGGGATTAATGTCCTTCTAAAGCAGCCCCAGAGAGATCCCTCACCCCTTCCACCATGTGAGGACACAATGAGAAGGTACTTTTTCTGCAGGTCAGCAAGTGGGTTCTCACTAGAGAACCAGCACCGTCAGCTTGGACCTCCCAGCTTCTAGAACTGTGACAAATAAATGTTTGTTTATAAGACGCCGAGTTGATATTTTTGTTGTAGCAATGTGAAGAGACTGAGACAGGTTCCCCGACTTCCTAAGCGATCTTAACTGGAGGTCAAAGGTATAGTAATACTGTGGCTGTGATTCCCAGAATAAAAACTCACATGGCTAAAATACCACTTTGGGGCAAACTCAGTAGATGGACCCACCTTTGTGGTCTGAAAGCACCCAGAGGCCAGAGACCCTCCTTTTAATGGTGCCTCACCTAGACTGCTCTAGAATTTAGACCACGGGGCTGGAATAAGATCAAGAATCCCACCTGCCTTGCTGCCTCTGGGGTGGTAACCAGAGTCCTAGCTGGGAGCCAGCTGTACTCCTGATCGCCTTAGGTTGTGGAGCTGCTAGCCAGGCTAGGGGCTAGGTCTGAGCAGCACAACCTCTCAGTGCCTCCGGCCCCTTCTAGAGGCAAACAGCAGGGTGGGCGCCACTGACAGCCCAGCGGTCCAGCCTCTCTTTTGTGTGTCCGGGGAGACTGGCTACCTGACTGGTCTGATCTGGGGATCGCCCTAGTCCCTGCCGGCAGGTAGGGGTCTCTCTCTCTCTCTCTCTCTCTCTCTCATGGCTCCCAGCGCAGTCGTTAAGCCCCACCGGCTTCTCGCTCTCCTAAATCTGGGGCCGCTTCCAGCCCTGGCGCCAGAACGCAGAGTCTCTGGTTCTGAGGTGCGCCCCTCCGGGTCTCGCAAGCGGCCGGACTCGAGGCTGCGGCCGTCATTGCTTCTACAATCAGTGCATGTTCCTCGCTGACGTCAGTAGGAGCTGTCCGGGAGCTATATAAGGCTGGCGGCGGTCCCGGGACAGACCCCGTGTTCCCCAAGGCGCCCTCAGCCCGCCCGGGGGACAGAGACTGGAGCGCCGTCCTGCAACGTGCAGACGCTCTCCGGCAACCTGTGAGTGGCTCGGAGGAGCATCCGCCCTGACTCCCTCAGCACCCGGACTCGTCGCATAGCTCACCCATCGCGACTCGCTCAGAGGGACGGAGGGAGGACAGGGTGGCGCTGGGCTGGGCTGCGCCTGGAGGGAAGGCTGTGGGCACGGGCGGCAGCCGCAGGGGCCCGGCGGGGGAGCTGGATGAGCGCGGGAAGGGGAGTGGCGCCACCTGCCCCGGGCGCACCTCACCCTGCGCTACGCCTGTGTGTCCAGGGCCGGCGGCACCATGAGGCAGGTGGGACGCGCGGCGCTGCTGGCGGCGCTGCTACTCCTGGCGGCGCTGCGCCCGGGGAGCAGCCAGTGGAGCCCGGAGGCGGCGGTCGCGGGGGTCCGGGACCCGAGTCTGCGCTGGAGCCCTGGGGCGCGGAACCAGGACGGCGGGGCCCGCGCGCTACTCTTGCTGCTGGCCGAGCGCTTCCCGCGCCGCGCGGGGCCGGGAGGATGGGGACCCCGGACTGCGGGAGAGCGGCCGAGACGGGACGACCCTCCGCTATCCATTGACCTCACCTTCCACCTGCTGAGGACCCTGCTGGAGCTGGCGCGGACGCAGAGTCAGCGGGAGCGCGCCGAGCAGAACCGCATTATATTCGAGTCCGTGGGCAAGTGATCTTCGGGGGGGTCTGCGGCCACGAGAACCTCGACCCCCGTCCTCCACCCCCTGGGCCGGGACGTGCGCGACTGGAACTGACCCAGTCCCGCCGGGCTATAGCGGCCCAGGGATGCCCTGAGCACTCTGTGCGTCACCAGTTTTTAATAAAAGTGCTGAAGAGCCTTTGGCCTCGGTTGTGGGGCGCAGGGAGCCACGACAGGATGGGAGCCCGGGGGAAAGTGCGGCCTCCTATGCCGGCGGGAGGGAACCAGATGCTGCATGAGGGCTCCCGCAGAACGGCTTTCAGCCAGGGCCCCACATCCCCAACGCCCCCAGGAACTCAAGTCCTGGTGCCGTCGCACCACCCCGACACTCCTCCCTTGGCACTGGGCTAGCGAACCCGTGCCCTACAGGGGTCATTCCACTTCCGCCCCCCCCCCAAATGATCCCAGATCGGGAGAAGGGCGGGATGATGGTGGGGTCGCCTCCGAAGCCGAGGCTGAGAGTGAGCAGTGAAAGGAGCTGCGGGTTTGGACTCGTTAGCCCTTTATTGAGTCCCTCCCCCGCGGCGGGGCGCCGAGCTGTGTGGCGCGGTGGTCTCTGCGCAGGTCCTCCGCGACCCGAGCGCCAGGCCCCAGGTGCGCGGGCTCCCCAAAGCGGGGGCGGGTCAGTGCCCGCCGGTGCCTGGGAAAGAAAGCTCGGTGGGCAGGCGCTCCGAAGGTACTTGGCGGCTCCGGACCCCAGCTCACCCACTTTCCCCAGTGGGTTTCTCCTCTACCTCCCGACCCAACTCGGTCTTCCCAAGCCCCAGAGTAAAGGCTGGTGGGAAAGTGTACTTCTGCACGCGCGCTAGGGGGCGCGCCCCTCCTGCCGGGGTTGGGAGGCTCCCAGCGATCCCCGTGCCACAGGAAGGCCATCATCGAAGAGGGGACCGGAGCGTAGGGCCAGCCCCGCCAGGCCCTTCAGGCCACACTCACCTTCCGGCCCGTCCGGCCGCTCTTCCTCTGGCCCCGCGCTGCCCTCTTCCCCCTCCAACGCCACCTCCTCATCCTCTTCCTCCCCGGAAGCGCCTGGCCCCAAGGAAAGCGCGGTGAGGTGGGAGTCCCGCTTCTCTGGTCGTGACCCCCCCCCCCACCGCGCCCCTCTGGACCCCCGGTCCCCGCGGCCTGCCGCCCCCTCCCATCCTGTGTCCCTCACCCGCCTGGAAGTCGATGGTCCGCAGCATTTCGGCCACGTGCTCCACGCTCACGGTGAACTGATCCATGCTTTCATAGCCCGGCTCTGGCCGTCCTGCCAGCTCCACTTTCGACATTGTCCCGACCCTGCGGCGCGGCAGCCGCTCAGCTGGAAACGCCCCCCGCACCCGCAACCCCCTCCGCGCGGCGGCGGAGCCCCGGCAGCCCCTTCCTTGCCCTTCCCGCTCGGCCTACTCACTTATTGATCAGCTCCTTGGCCTGCTGCAGGGAAGAAAGGAGGGGGAGCGTAAGCATCGTGCCAAGCGCTGGCAAAGTCCCGTTTCTGGTGCCCACAGTCCCGCGGGGTGGGCGGGGATGCGTATCCCAATTCGTTGAGGAGCAGGTGGACTCAGACGGGGGTGACTCGCCCGAGGCAAAGTGGGGCAGACGGGTGCCGGAGGTAAGACGGGAGCCCCGCCCTCCAGGTGGTGCCCTCCAGGTGCCCGGGCCCCCACGGCAGCCACTCTGCGGCCTGCCTCCCTCCCCCGGGGCCCACCTGGAGGTAGAGCGCCATCTGTGGCTCCTCCATGGACTGGATGGCCGACTCCACGAGCTTAGAGGAAGCCTCCAGGTGGTCTCCGTACTGGCGGATGAGGCCCCGCACGCGCTGCAGCTTCTGCTCCTGCTCGCGGGCCAGCGCCTGCAGCAACTCAGCCTTGCGTTCTTCCAGCACCGCGCACAGGGCCTCGAACCTCTGGGTTAGTAACTGCTTCTGCCGCCGGCTATTGTCCTGAAAGAGGGGAGCAAGGGTGAGACCTCCTTCTTGGTCGGGAGAGCACTCCCCGCCAAAGGGAAGCCACCGGGGCCAAGAAAGTACCCCACATAGCGGCAGACCTACAGGTGCAGCCAAGGGCAGGGTCTTCTCAGTAATAACCGTTACAAGATTTTTAAAAATTGAGATATAATTGACTTTTAACATTACATTAGTTTCGGGTGTACAATGTAGTGATTCGGCATCTGTATATATTGTGAAGGGATCACAGGTCTAGTTACCATCCGTCACTACAGTTACAAAGCACAGAGAAGTGAAGTGACTGGGCCAAAGTCACAGAGCTAGCAAGGGGCACAGCTGGGACTCAAACCTAGCAGCTTGGCTAAGCATATCCCACCACTTGTGATTCACCCCCCAGGAACCCAGAAATCTCCCCTCCTCCCATCCCAGGCTCACCTCTATGGTCTGGCACACCTCCTCCATCTGTGTGATCACTGCCTGCACGCGGTCGTTGCCGGCCACCAGCATTGCGATTCCATCGCTGAGCTCACTCTGCCACACACACAGGCCAGCACTTAGAACTGGGGGGCCCTGCCTAGAGCGGTACCCCTCCCATCCCGGCCAGGGCGCCCCCTCCACGCCACCATCAGGGCTATTCCAGAGATCTAGATGGCTTGGAACCATCTAAGAAGTGTGGAAGCACATTCATGGGTTCTGGAAGGAGGCGGAGAGAGGAGCCCCTCCACCACCAAATGAGAAAGGAGCAGACATTTGCCAAACATTCAGGCCTCGGGCTAAGTGCTTTATCTGTAGATTCGTGTCTTCCATCAATTTGGAAATATTCTTTGTAATGATCTGTTAGGATACTATTGCCTCTTCTCCATTCTTTTTATTTTCTCCTTCTGTGACTCTGAGGAGGCATGTGTCAGAGCTTCTCATCCTCATCTCCCGGTGCTGCATCCTGGGCTATTTTTTTAGGCCTCTCTTCCTGTTTGCTAATTCTCTCTTCAGTGAAATTTCAACAATCATATTTTCATTTTTTTAAGTTTATTTATTTATTTTGAAAGAGAGAGAGAGAGAGAGAGAGAGAGAGAGAATCCCAAGCAAGCTCCATGCTGTTAGCACAGAGCCTGATGTGGGGCTCCATCCCATGCACAGTGAGATCAAGACCTGAGATGAAATCAAGAATTGGACACTTAACTGACTGAGCCACCCAGGCACCCCTATATTTTCATTTCTTAAAGCAATTTCCTTTTAAAAAAATATTTTTATTTATTTTGAGAGACAGAGAGAGCGAACAGGAAAGGGGCAGAGCGAGAGAAGGAGAGAGAGAATCCCAAGCAGGCTCTGTGCTGTTAGCTTGGAGCTCATCATGGGGCTCAAACCCATGAACCAGGAGATCATGACCTGAGCTGAAACCAAGAGTTGGACACTTAACAACTGAACCACCCATGTGCCCCTAGAATTTCATTTTTAAAATCTCTATTTGGTTCTTTGTTAAATCAGCATTTTTGATAATCTATTATTGCCTGTTCTATTTATTCCATTTTTTAAATGTTTATTTTTGAGAGAGAGAGAGAGTAGGGGAGGAGCTGAGAGAGAGGGAGACACAGAATCCAAAGGAGGCTCCAAGCTCGGATCTGTCAGCACAGAGCCGGACGCAGGGCTCAAACCCACAAACTGGGAGATCATGACCCGAGGCAAAGTTGGATGCTCAAACGATTGAGCCACCCCAGGCACCCTTTTTATTCCATATTTTTAAAAAAGCATTTTATACACAGTGATACTCTATTCTTTAATAATTCCAATATCTGAGGGGTGCCTGGGTGGCTCAGTCAGTTAAGCGTCTGACTCTTGATTTCGGCTCAGGGCATAATCTCACAGTTCATGGGTTTGAGCCCCGCATTGGGCTCTGAGCTGACAGTGTGAAGCTTGCTTGGAATTCTCTCTCTCTTCCTCTCTCTCTGCCCCTCCCCACTCTCTCTTTCTCAAAATAAATAAAAAAAAATTTTTTAACTATTTTTTTCCATTTTGTTTTAATGTTTATTTATTTATTTATTTTTATGTTTATTTTTGAGACACAGAGAGACAGAGCTTGAGCAGGGGAGGGGCAGAAAGAGAGGGAGACACAGAATCCGAAGCAGGCTCCGGGCTCCGAGCTGTCAGCACAGAGCCTGACGCAGGGCTCGAACTTGTCAACCGGGAGATCACGACCTGAGCCGAAGTCAGACGCTTAACCGACTGAGACACCCAGGCACCCCCTGAGCCACCCAGGCGCCCTTAAATAAAAATTTTTAAAAATTAAAAACAATAATTCCAATATCTGAATTCCTCAGGGGTCTGATCCGTACTTCGTTTCTACCGCCTGCACTCATGCGGTACATTTATTTCTGTATCTTCACTTTTGAATTGATATTTTGTTGTTCTTAATCTAAGGAAAACCCAAATACCTAAATTGAGGGTGTTTTCCTCCAGGCAGAATCTGCATTCGCTTTTGTCAAAAGTCGGGTGGCATGACCGACTACCTTAGTTCCTGGGATTCCAGTTTAACCTGGGTTTCTTCAGTTCAGGTGCCCACCTTACAGAAGTCTGGAGACACAGTCTCATCCCAACGTAGTCTCATCCCTCTGGCTCAGCAATACTGCCAGCATTTACCCCGTGGGAAGTCTGGCCTTTTCTGTGCTTACCACCCCGGGTTCTGTGGTCAGCTTACTGCCCCTTCCTCACCCCACTCCACCCCCACTTGGAGATTTCCTTTACTTTCTATGTGCCCACTGATATAATTTTTAAATTATGTTTTATGTCGAATCTAGCTGTGTGTCAGTGAGAGGGCCCAGAGAGCATCTAGGCCACCAAACTGAAGTTGCTCACATCTTCCATGATCTAATTGTGTCCTTACAGCGACTCTCAGAAGCAGGCATTTTCATCCCCATTTTACAAGCAAGGAAAGTCAGGGCCAGAGAGGTCAAGTGACTTACCTAAGGTCACACTGAGTCATGCATAGAGCTGGGACTGTAGCCCTGATCTGCCTGCCTTTACGTGTGTGTGTGTGTATAATTTTTTTTTTTTTTTTGAGAGAGAGAGGAGACGGCTTGAGTGCCATGTGAGCAAATAGGGGAGAAGCAGGGGGTGGAGAAAGGGAGAGGGAGAGAGAGGGAGAAAGAGAGAGAGAGAGAATCCCGAGCAGGCTGCATGAGGGAGGACTCCATCCCGTGACCCTGCGATCATGACCTAAGCCAAAATCAAGAGTCAGTTGCCCAACTGAGCCACCCAGGCGCCCCCTGATCTGCCTGCCTTTAAAACCAAGTGCAGTGACTTTTAAACCCAAGTGGAGTGACAGGATGGAAGTCTGAGAGGCTGTCCTGTCTCTGGTCCCACATGCCTGCTCCCTCTGCTGCTTGATACCTTCTGGCGTTTGTAAATGGTGGGCAGGGGGGCCACCTCACAGTCCTTGTGGGCACCGAAGACCTTACAGAGAGAGCAGGTGGGCACTTCACAGCTCAGGCAGTAGATATTGATCTTCTCCTCTTCATGCTCCTCGCACATAAGGTGCTGCTCAGCCTTGGAGTGCAGTGGTCTGGAGGGGAGCGGGCAGGGTGGCGGAAGGGTCAGGGGCCAGGCTGGGGGGAGGTGGGCCCCACAAGTGCAGGTCCCCATGAACACCTTCTCTTCAGCCCTCACCAACCACCAATCACAGTTGGAGCTGGGCTGGGCAGGTGAGCGACTTCCACAGTGCCCTTCATTCGAGGAATACAGAGAGCTAAGGGGTAGAGGAGGCCTAGATCCAAGAACAGCATCTGTTCCAGGGGGCCAGGGAAGTCCCACAGGGCAGGAAGCCATAGAAGGTTGTCAAGGGCCTTGCTGGTGGACTGCCAGCCCCTCCGCCAGGTGGAGAGGGTGCAGGTGAAGCCCTGCCCAGGATCTGAGATGCCTCAGCTGGGTGACCTGGGACAAATTCCTCCCCCTCCCAGGGTCCAGTCCTCTAATCACTAAAGAGGCTGATCCTTTCAGCCCTTCCCTTCTGGCTGATTGGTTCCCCTCTCTGTGCTGTGTCCCAGGCCCTGCCCCTTTGAGAGACAAGAGGTCTTGACAGCTCACCGGGAAGACTCTTGTTTGTAAATGTCGATAATGTTCTCCACTAGTAGGTTTCTCTGCAGGCCATAGACGCCATGTCTGTCCAGGACAACCTCATGCCTGCAAGATGGGCAACGGAAACGGCCTCCGGAAGACACAGTGGTGGAGCCCCGGGATTGCCACAGAGGGTTCGAGGCCTGTAGGGACAAGTAGCATGAGAGAACACGCACGGTGAGGCATGGAGGAACGGGGAGGAGGCAGGGGGAAAGGTTGTGGGGGCTGAAATAAAATGTAGGAGAATGGTGGAAGGGGAGGCATCAGCTCCGTTCCTTGGGGAGGTCCTCCTCCTCTGAAAACGGTGGGTGGCCATGGAGATCTTCTTTCCCACTTTTGACTCATTACTCCTTAAGTGTCCCTGCATCCAGAACCCAACTTTGGTCAAGGCCCAGTCAGGATGGTCTCCCTAATGGGGCCCAACTTGCAGGTGTGGGGAGACATTGGCAATGGCAGGAAGGTTAAGGTTGGAAATGGACTCTGTGTGGTGCAGCCAATGTCCTCCTGGGGCTTTCACGGACCACAGCTAGGGGAGATTCTCTGTAACCCTCAGCAGGGAAGCCCAGACAAGTGCTGAATAATGGGGCACACAGGCCACATCGTGCCGGGCAATTCCTAGGAAACCATTCTAGAGACTGGGAGCCAGGGGTCCTGTGTTCTTGTGCTGCCCTTCATACTGTTCTACCATGTAAATTCGAGCAAGCATTCGATGTCTGGAAAACTAAGGACTACACTGGATTATTCATTCTACAACAAATATGGAGGGTGCCAGGTAATTTCGAGGCTCTGGGGATAAGATGAACAAAAGCCACCCTGCCCTAAGGACAAGCAAACTGACAACTACATCTGGCAGGCAGGGTTATGACAAGAGTCAAGCTTGGAAGGCAGACGTACGAGAGATGTTCATCACTTATACCTCTTAGAGAACTTGCTCCTTCCCATCCTAAAAGGGAGAACCCCACTATGGCCCAGGCCACAGATGACTGGCTCAGAGTTGAGGAGGTGATCACCTGACCCAAGCAGAACCAATCACATTTTCTCTCCAGGAATTTAGAACTGAGACACAGAGGTGGGGGTGGCTAGACCACCTGCGGCTCTGAAACTGAAAAGACCTGTGGAGTTGGGCAGAGAGCTGACATTGTGGAGACACTGCAAAGACACAGTCTTGTGCAAGTGGAAGTGGAAAGCCCAAGGGGTCAGAAAGTATGAACAGGAAGGCTTGTCTTCGGAGAAGACCACAAAGTCAACTTGTGGACAGCAGCAGAGAGAAAAAACTGGTAGAGACTGTTTGAAGTTCCTCAGTATTCACCTTCTCTTCTTCAGTAACAGAGCCTCTGAGTTTTTAGCAAGACACATGGAATAAAGACTGTGTGTCCGGGGGGCGCCTGGGTGGCGCAGTCGGTTAAGCGTCCGACTTCAGCCAGGTCATGATCTCGCGGTCTGTGAGTTCGAGCCCCGCATCGGGCTCTGGGCTGATGGCTCAGAGCCTGGAGCCTGTTTCCGATTCTGTGTCTCCCTCTCTCTCTGCCCCTCCCCCGTTCATGCTCTGTCTCTCTCTGTCCCAAAAATAAATAAACGTTTGAAAAAAAAAAAAAAAAAAAAAGACTGTGTGTCCGGGGCGCCTGAGTAGCTCAGCTGGTTAAGCTTCCGACTTTGGCTCAGGTCACGATCTCACGGTTCCTGAGTTCAAGCCCTGCACTCACTGCTGTCAGCATAGAGCCCACTTTGGATCCTCTGTCCTTCTCTCAACCTGTTCCTCCCCTGCTTGTGCTCTCTCTCACTCGCTCACTCTCACTCTCAAATAAAATAAATAAATAAATAAAACAAACAAGACTCTGTGTCAAGTCTCCCTTCCGACTGAGTATGACCAGGTGGCTACATTCTGGCCAACAGGATGTAGACAGAAATGTTTTATGCAACTTCTAGGAAGTATCTTTAATGGAAGGGGCATATGCCCTACTCTTTTCTCCTTCCTGTTGGCTACAATGAAGATGGAGTAGCTCCAGCTGAAGCAGTCATGTGGCTCCATGAGGTAGTCACAGGATGAGAATGGCAACAAGATAAAAGGAGGGAGTCTCTGGACTGCCTACCTATACTTTGGCTTGAGAGAAAGAACACATTTTTTACCTTCTTTAAGCCATTACTATTTTGGGTTTTCTGTCACTTAAGCACAACTTAGTCCTAGCTGGCTGGAAGGCCATGGACTCCTAGAGACTAATGAAGAGAACAGTCACCTGTGACTTTGAAAACTTAGATGTATTTCCTGAAGGTGAGTTTGATGAAATTCTCCAAATCCTCACGCTGGACATCAGCCAGAGGGACCCTTATGTGTGCAACAGCACCCAGGATACACAGAGGGCATCCAAGTCCGCAGTCTTCTTTGAACCTTTAGAAGCAACAGATGTAGGCAAGGCAGGAAATGTGGCCTCTGGGAAGTGGGCAAGCCTATACTGGGGAGAGTGACTGGCATGTCACAAATCTCACATTTGGGGGGAATTTCTTGTGAATCCTAAGAAGTTAACACATTAGGCCAGAACCGATTACTTTGAGATTATCCAAGGCTGCGTTTGTGCCTTTGTCTTTCTCAGTAGCTGCAATTGTATATAAATCCTGCTGAGTTTAGGGTGTGGGTTAAAGTGTAAGACCACTGGGCTTTTGCTTACTTAATACAATGACCTTTCATTACTTAGAATCCAAGTGAGCAAGGAGGTGTTGGGAGAACTCCAAGCCTGCAAACTCCTGGAGGGATCTTACTTCTCTTTGATTCGCTAGTGGCTAGCATATAAAAGTGCTCAGGAAATGGTTGAATGGGTGGAAATGGGTTTGAATGTTTGAATGGGCTAAAGTCTTAGCCCAGAGCACAAACTTCTGAGTTAGCCTCTCTCCTCCACCTTCCTCCCTCACAGCCCCCCCTTCCTCTATACTCATTATTTAACATTCAACTCATGTTTTGAGGGCCAATTATGTGTCAAGCACCATGCTATATGGGCTTCCCAGACATTATTGAATTTAACCCTCAAGGACTTCTTGTAAATATGGTGGAGGACATGAACATTAACCCCCTAACTAAGACTACAGGAAGTATAGTGACAATGGCTAACCGGACACATACTTTATGCCAGGTTCTTCTCTAAGCTCTTTTATCTGTATTAACTCATTTAAACCTCTTATCGACCCTTGAAATAGGTACTACTATTAGCCCCATTTCAAAGATACGAAATTGCAGCCCAAAGGTGTTAAATAAATGGTACGGGGTCATCAGATAATAGATGGCAGAACCAATATTTGAACTCAGGCACTCTAACCCCAGGGTCCATTCTAAATAATCAATATGCTGGAAGTGCCTGGGTGGCTTGGTCAGTTAAGCATCCAACCAGCTCAGGTCATGATCTCACAGTTCGTGAGTTTGAGCCCCGTGTTGGGCTGTGTGCTGACAGCTCGGAGCCTGGAGCCTGCTTAGGATTCTGTGTCTCCTCTGCCCTTCCCCTGCTCGTGCTCTGTCTCTCTCTGTCTCCCAAAATTGAATAAACATTAAAAAAAAATCAATATAGTACATTGTCAGATGGAGTAGAATTTAGGCCACCTGAAGGATGATGCCCAGAGCTAACATTCGCCCCTCTGAATCGCAGGTAAAACAGATTTTAGTTAGAGTCGTAAAAGGCCACACATCAACCCTTCACAAAGGAAACAACAACCTAAAAGTGAGCTGTGCAACTGTGGATTGATGTTATTTGAGCTGAGGTAAACAAAACATGACCCATCAACCCAAAACCCCTTGTGCCATGAAGCAATACAAGGGTCCGGCTTGCAACCAGAATAACCTGTGTCTCTGTGAAAAGGAAAGGAAATCGCTCAAATCTCAGGGAGACCTCCGCCCATGGATCTCCACATGCCCTCAGACTAGCTAGTTCACCAGATTCTGTGTGAAAAACATACTGAGGCGATATAACCAAATTGAGCCACTCAGCTGCCTGCTAATCCGGGACATACCCCTCTAATTCACCACAGAAGCCAAAGGACTGGGCTTGCAACAGAGATGCAAACCGATGGGAACATCCAGCTAGCCAGTTTACAGTTAAGTGGACCGTGGAAGAAAGCCAAGGTAGACAGGGGGTTGACTAACGAATTCATCCTCAGCCTCAGATAAAACTGCCCTGATTCAAAGAGGAATGGTAAGCAGAAGGGATCCAAAGGGAGATGTAAACGGACATAATAAAAAAGGAAAAAGAAAGCATGACAAGCAACAGACAGACGAAGAATATGCTTTGTGAGAAGAACTGCTTCTAGACACAGTATTTCAATCTAACACTTTTAAAGAAAACAGGGGCACCTGGGTGGTTCAGTCGGTTGAGCGTCCGACTTCGGCTCGGGTCATGATCTACAGCTCGTGGGTTCGAGCCCCGCGTCGGGCTCTGTGCTGACAGCTCAGAGCCCGGAGCCTGCTTCGGATTCTATGTCTCCCTCTCTCTCTGCCCCTAACCCACTCACATCCTGTCTCTGTCTCTCTCAAAAATAAATAAACATTAAAAAAAATTTTTTTAAAAGAAAGAAAACAGTCTCTTTGATTAAAGAAGAGATATAAGTGATCAAAGCTGGGAGAAGTGAAGGGAAATGGAAGAATTAAGAAATCAAGTAAAATATGTTACAAACATAGAAGCGAAATTCACTCATGACACTACAGCAGGAAGTAGAATGGAGACACTGGCGGAAGTCACATAGATCATAGTGGAAAATAACAGGGTAAAAGCAATCAGGACTACGTGCTACAACGTGGATCAACCTTGAGGACTTTGTGCTAGCTGAAATTAGCCTGCTGCGAAAGTACAAATACTGTATGATCCCTCTATATGAAGTACCTGAAATAGTCAAATTCATAGAGATAAAAAGTAGAATGGTGGTTACCAGGGGCTGAGGGGCAGGGAAGCGGAAGGTTATCATTTAATGGGTACACAATTTCCATTTGGAATGATGAAAAGTTCTGGATACACAACAGTGTGAATATACTTAATGACACTGAACTGCACATGTAAGAATGGTTAAGATAATTGGGGTGCCTGGGTGGTTCAATCGGTTAAGCATCGGACTTGGTTTTGGCTCAGGTCATGGTATTGTGATTTCTTGAGTTCAAGCACCATGTTGGGCT